TCACCTAGAGCGACAACAACAAAGGCAATAGGTAGCACATATCCATCTCCATCCTGTGACATCGCAATCAAAAGAGTTCCTTTATATTTTCTATACAGATGAATGCCATCAATTTGAATTATGGGCTTACAGTATTTGAAGGCCTCATTGACTAGTGAAACATCCAAAAAACCTATGAAAGACGACATTATCTGTATAAACTCAGCGTACGTCAAAACATTCGTCTGTGTCAAGTTTGAAGACAAAAGCCACATTACATTGTGTCATGCATGTCAGCCAATTAGGCAAGAATTCATACAATTTGTGTCATTCACCAAATAACTTCACAGTGCCCTTCATTTTTGTCTTCCAAGCCTTCATATAAGTTATATTGTATCCATACAGACGTTGCATCCTCTTTTGTATCAGAACTGGTTTTAAAGCTGGATCTTCCCTTAACATACCTATAAAAAACAACGCAAGTTGTTAATATTGTCAATAAATATTTTTCACTAAATAAATAACATAAACAAACCATATGTAACTGCACATCATACAAAACATACTTATAATGGTTGAACACATAACATCTGAATCCAGTTGTCTATGATCCTGGGCAAGACCTTCGTTCAGTCAGATGTAATCTTTTCCCCACTTATTGATCACCCAAATATTTTCATTCTTCGGCATGATTGCCCTCATATACCAGAGACAACCGTCTTTGTGATTCGACATTTCATCATAAATCTATGCTCATTGCTTTTTGCAAATACGGTTGTACGATGAGCTTTCATACAATGTAACTTCACGACATATTGCATTTTAGATTTGGAATGAAACTCCTTATACACATATAATAGATCCCTTAATTGCCAACCACCGTGCAAGTCATCGTCACCATACAACATTTCCATCTCGTCATTAGGGTGCGCCCGATTAATGAAGGAATAATGTGGGCTTTCGTTCCAAAATGACTCAATCTCATGTCCTACATCTAAAGCATGATATTTTTGTCATAAACAATAACAACACAAATATGAAATGTTATATAAAAATTTAAATTTACTAACCTACCAATGCTAAGTGGGTTAACATGAAGTAGAGGCATAGTCGGGGAACTCAAGTTTATTGGGTTAGTGTCAGCATCAAAATCACCCTCCATGTCAGTATCTGAGGTGTCATCTAGTGGAATAACAGTCTCAGGTTCTCCCTCCTCATTGTTATCCATTTCCTCCTCCTCATCCTTTTCTCTCTCTCAATGTTATCTGTCTTAACCCTTGTGCAGGTGCAGATAAACCGACAATTTTGTCTTGTTGACCAAAATATTGTGGAGTTTTTGTATGCATAGGAGCAGATAAAAATTGACCAGAATCAACTTCAACATATATCTCAATAAAATTTTGAATATTCTTTTTAGCATTTGCATCTATGAAACGTTCCACATCTTCATCATCACAAATATTGTTAATAATGTAGTATATAGCATCATTACCAACTATTATCTCTATTGGTTGCCTTGTGGCCCTAATTTTTTGTGAATTCTCCTTTTGAACTCGTTGTATATAGTGTCCTTTTTGATTTTCATCATTTTGGTTTTTCCTTCAAATTAAACATCAATGAGACCTTCAAAATGCCTTCCGTCGTGGTAGATAACTGTAACATATGTGTTTGAACTTGAGCTCATCTTTCATAAGAAAATTAGGACTAGGATTTAGATTTTTTGGTTTTGGGTTTGGGTTCAGATTTTACCCGAAAAAAGGAATATGTAAGTGTAATGACGATGTTTTCACAAGATTAAAGCTTTAGAGTTGGTGGGATGAATAGGATATTGATGGGTTGGATTACAGATGAGAAACGAGAGAGATTTTGGTATAAAAAATAGGATATAAGTAAATGAGACCGAGACATATAGATTTAAGGGTTATGTCGTTATTTAATTGATTAAACCATTATTGCTTAATCAATTAAATAACGTGGTCAATTTTTTGTGTATATTTTGACTGTTTAATCTATGAAGCTTAATGGCTTAATCAATCAAGCCTCACAGTTTAATTGATTACACAGGCCAGGTTGGCGAAATATTTTGGATAAGGGAAAAAATAATTATTTTTTAATTAATAAATAGCAAAAGCGTCAAAAAGCCCACTATTACATGATAGAAAGTTAAAAACCATTACTTTTTTGTTAAGAAAAATCATTACTTATTTTACCTGTGCATTATAATTATTGTTTGAATCATATATCTACACACGCGTATGTATATATAAATATTAAAAATGTTATTTTAAAAAAATTATAGCAAAAAATATTTTAATAATAATTGGTTAAAATTTAAAAAAATAAAACACACTTGACATTTAAATGTAAAAATAAAATAAAAAAAGGCACATTGCAATTGACAAATTCACAATTTCATATTGAAAATTATGAGTATGTTTGATTATGTAATGTTTTTTTGTGTTTTTTAAAATTATTTTGTAAAATAGTTTATAAAATAAGTATTTTTATATTTTTTTATCTTATTTAAATTGAATTTTAAAATTAAAATACAGTTGTAATTTTTAAAATTAATTTTATAAAATATTCCATATGATTTTTATATTTTAAAAAAAAGGATAGGATATTGTGACACCCAAGTTATGTTACACTCATGTGACACCCGGTCAATCCCATCGTTAGATCGCTTATGTTGATCCAACGGTTATATTTATTTCCATATTCGTATGGTCATGATTTCTCAAATTTAATATTTTATATTTATTTCTACTTTTGTATGGTTATGATTTCTCATATTTAATGCTTTCACTTTAAATTTGGGAAATCATGACCATACAAAGATAGAAATAAATATAACCGTTGGATCAATATAAACGATCTAACGGTGCGATTGACTGGGTGTCACATGTAACATAACTTGGGTGTCACGATATCTAGGGGTGTGCAAAAAAACTGATTCACTTGCCCTGCCCTTGATCCAACCTTGACCTGACCCATAAATACCCATATTTTTTGAACTGGTTTAAATACTGACCCACTTTTTTTTGGGTCAGTTTTAGACCTGACTCGTTTTAATAAAGTGAAAGCATACAAAACTTGACCCATACCAATTATGTGAAAAAAAAATCACAATTACATTAAAAGAAAAGTTTTCACGTAAAATAATTACGTCAAAATTTTTTATGGAATATATTTTCATAAAAATTTTCGCAAAAATTTTTGACGAAAAATATTTTCATCAAAATTTGTGACTTTCATATCGGTAAAAAAATTTGACGGAATTTTTTTTTTGTCAAATTATTTTACGGAATCTAAATTTCGTCAAAATATTTTACAAAAAAATATATTCATAAAAACTTTCGACGAAACACATTTTCTTCGAAATTCTTTGAAGAAAAAAAATTTCATCAAAATTCTTTACAGATTTCAAATTTCGGCGAAAGTTTTCGACGGAAACATTTTCGTTAAACTTTTTGACAAAAAACAATTTCGTCAAAATTTTTAGCGAAATACATTTTATCAAAAAAATTCGACTAAATATTTTCGTCAATTTTTTTGATAAAGAATATATCCATCAAAATTTTCAACGGAACACATTTCTGTAAAAAAAATTCGTCAAATTTTTTGACAAAAATATTTCGATAAGAAATTTTGACAGAAAAAATATTTTGTGTAAATTCTTCAGAGAATCTAAATTTCCTCGAAAGTTTCAAATGAAACATTTTCCTCAAACCAATTTCCATTGAAAATTTTGACGAAACACATTTTCATCAAAAAATTTCGACGGCAAAAAATTTCATTAAAATTCTTTAAAGATTTCAAATTTCGGCGAAAGTTTTCGACGAAAATATTTTCGTCATAAAAAAAATTTGACGGCAAAAAATTTCATCAAAATTCGTTACAGATTTCAAATTTTGGCGAAAGATTTCGACGGAAACATTTTCGTCATCAAAAAATTTTGACGGCAAAAAATATCGACGACAAAAGATTTCATCAAAATTCTTTACAGATTTCAAATTTCGGCAAAAGTTTTCGACGGAAATATTTTCGTCATCAAAAAATTTTGACGGCAAAAATTTTTATCAAAATTCTTTCCAGATTTCAATTTTGGCGAAAGTTTTCGACAGAAACATTTTTGTCATCAAAAAAATTTGACGGCAAAAAATTTCGACGGCAAAAAAATTCATCAAAATTCTTTACAGATTTCAAATTTCGACAAAAAAAATTTCGTTAAATTTTTTGACAAAAAAAAATTTTCGTCGAAATTTTTAGCGAAACACATTACCATCGAAAATTTTCAACTAAATATTTTCATAAAGTTTTTTGATAAAAAATTTCCATCAAAATTTTCAACGAAACACATTTCTATAAAAAAAATTCGTAAATTTTTTTGACAAAAAAAACATTTTGGCTAAAAAAATATTCTGTCAAAATTCTTTAGAAAATCTAAATTTCGTCGAAAGTTTCAAATGAAACATTTCCCTCGAAATAATTTCCGTCAAAATTTTCGTCAGAAAACATTCCCATCGAAATTATGAACGAAAAACATTCCGTCAAATTTTTTGACAAAATTCTTTTTTCGTTTAAAACATTTGATGGAAGAAATCATTTTCGTCAAAATTGTTGACGGAAACTAAATTTCAATAGAAATTTTTTTTTTTGTAAAAATTTCGACGAAAAAATAATTTTGTGACGAAATTTTCGTCTTTTGCAACGTAAAAACTTCGACAAAATTTTGTGAGAAAATCAAGTCAAAAACAGGTCAGGTCAGAATTGACCCAGTTCAGAAACCAAGTCAGACCCACTTCAGAAACCAAGTCAGGTCAGATCCAAACTGGTTCCGAACTAGTTCAACAAAATCCAATCCAAGTCAGACCTGACTTGGATCAAATTAAAGCGGGTCAGGTCAAAATACCTGACCTATAAAAACCAAGTTGGATCGAGTCGGACAAAACCTGACCCACAGCCCTAACGATATCCTATCCCTTTAAAAAATAAATCTAAAAATTATTTGTGTAAACCGAATTCAAAAGAGACCCGTGCTGTACCTTGTAGTCTCGAATCACCGTCGAGCTTCACCGCACAAACAACAACTGCGAGCTGCCACAGTGATTAAACTGGTAAAATCGTTCAGAAAACTCTCTCTTAGTTTCTCTCTATTTTTCTCTCATTCAGAAGAATCTATAGACTATAGGTTTGCGCTGCTACTTAAGCAAGCTGTTTTCCCTAATTTCTGAGTTTCCGATTCATTTTTTTCTTCTTTTATTTTGGATAGTCCCGTGATTTATCGTGCATTTGTTGCTCTAGAAACAAGATGGGGTTTGAAACCCTTCTTCCTCAATCATTCACGCACAGCTCGCAGGTCTCTCTTTTTTTCTGAGCTGTGCTGTCAATCGAAGGATGCTTGTGGTGCAACGAAGGAAAGAAAGTTGCTTGCTTGTGATGCAATTTTTTTATTTAAATTTTTATTTTTTGTTTTCAATCTTTATTTAGGTTTTCCATTCACCGGTTGTTATTCATGTCTATGGTAATTTTGTTTTTTAATAAAATTTAGGGATGCGTTATTTCCCATTCGAAAATATGCATTTGAGTTTTTTTTGTTGTTGTTGTTGTATTCTTTGTATATATATTCTTATTAGTTGTTTTACGGCCAGGAGTAATTGTCCAGATTGGGCAAAAAGCGGGGGAAGAAGGAGAAACAAGAAAATGTTTTTTCACATAGTGTTGGAGCGAAATATGCAGTTGCATCCACGTTACTTTGGCCGTAATCTTCGTGATAATCTTGTTGCCAAGTTAATGAAAGATGTGGAAGGCACTTGCAGGTGATTCACCTTAAGATCCTTTCAGTATATTTCTTTTTCCTATAATGTGAGAGGTCATAAATGGTAATAAGAAAGCAAAATATGGATTTTTTAGTAATATATTATTAGAGAAGATGTGTTAAACAATTAAGGTTTTCTTTTGTTAGGTAACTTTAGTTTTAGTATGTAAACTTGCTAAGAGTTGAAACTCCCCATCCTGGCCCTCACGGACTTGAATCCCATCCATGGCCTCAGGCTCAAATAACAAAACTTGAATACTCTTAAGAGTTGAGAAATGAGAACCCCCATCCTGGCCCTCTTTCTGGTGGCTTTTCCTGATCTTTTGCCTCGAGTTATTTTGAACTAACTTTAACAAATATCTCAAATTTCCATATATATAAGAGGGTTTTTTTTTTTTTTTTTGACATGTTGAAACAGTAGTGGACATGTTCTTCCCAATCCCCGTTTAAATATGTTCATAATGATAGCTTTGTTCGTGTATTTGATTGGAACATTATTTAATTTAGATCGGAGAAAAGTATTTGTGTCTATAAGTGACTGGTTTGAACTTCGGTGAGATGTAATATTTGGATTTTCAACTATTTTGCAGTGGTCGACATGGATTTGTGGTGGCGGTTACTGGGATAGAAAACATTGGGAAAGGGTTAATACGTGATGGAACAGGGTTTGTAACATTTCCGGTTAAGTACCAATGTGTTGTCTTCAGACCGTTTAAGGGGGAGATCTTAGAAGCTGTTGTCACCATGGTGAACAAGGTTTGTACGATTCCTTTGTCTTTTGAGTAATCTAGCCATCTAACTCTAATGTGCGAAGATAGTGGTTTATAATTGTTGAGTTCTGTCTGTACAGATGGGATTTTTCGCTGAAGCTGGACCTGTCCAAATCTTTGTTTCAAACCATGTAAGGTTTTTTTTTATCTTTTATAACCTTTGGGAAATGATCTCTATCATCCACATGTTATACCTAATAGGTTGTTCTTATTGTTCTTTATTTGAACATAAAATTATGCTTACCGTTTATGGTTTTGTCATTAGAATGCCATGCAAGTTTTTGGCTATGTCAATATGATAGACTCTAACTATTTTAAGGCACAAATAATGGAAGGAAACAGGAACCAAATAAATAACATTTACTCGTATTGTTTGTATTATTGCATATTGTAGTGTATTAGATACTCGTACCGTGCAAAATAAGTTTTTATTATGCCTATCTATTTTCAATTTCATGAGAATAACTGTCTTGATAATGTGAGGATCTTGACCATTAAATGAATTAATTACCAAACCAGAATTTTGTGTTAATGGACTTTCATAACCAGTTGACCTTTCTGTGTTTGGGGCTAGAATAAAGATGATTTTGCAAATTGGTGATTAGCTCAAATAAAAAATGAAATCAGTGCATGAAACCAGTTATCTAAATCACACAAACTATTCCTCGTATTATTTTTTCTAAAGACGACTTCCTGTGAGAGTTTTGGTGTTGATCTAAACTGAAGCTGAATTCCTCCTCTAATTCTCTGCCAGTTGGGGAATTTTTTTTTTTTATTTTCTATCAAAAGGTAGAAAGATGTAGGAGTGAAAAGGAAAAACGATATAACCTATCTAAAATACTTGTTTCATATTGCAATATTTGAATGTTGTCCAAACTTCTCACTGACGAGTAGGATTAGTATTTTACTCTAGATAATGGATGGTAGGGCGAGAGAATTGATTTCTTGTTTTGTCTTTTTGACTATGTACTCTATTTCATCTCGAAAGGAACTCCTCTGTTTTAGAATGCTGTATGAGATTTGTTTTGATTCATCCTTGCTTAGTAATCAAAAAGGCTAATTTGCAAGCTTTAAATTGTGATGTGAGTTTAAACTCGCCTAGATATTTTTTGTTTTACGTGTTCATTTTATTCTTTTTTTTAGAGCGAACTAATTATTTATATTGTGATGACTGATGCCATGCAAACCATCTAAAATTCTAAATCACAATGGAATGTCTTTATTTTACCATCAGACATCTGCAATGAAGTTCAGAATTGCCAAACATTATTATCCACTTTTTTAAAAAAATAGTTTAATATAGTTTTATGTCATCACTTTGTGACTAGAAAAGCTTCAACTCGTACCTTGTAATATATTTTTGTCTATTAATTTTTTTTTTCCCTTCTTAGTTGATTCCGGATGATATGGAGTTCCAGTCTGGAGACATGCCAAATTACACTACTTCAGATGGATCCGTATGTATCATTTATAACTTCTCATTAAAAAAGAAGAGAGCAAATTGTTTTGTTTTTTGTTTATTATCATGTTCTTTTATGTCTTTGACTCTGGTATTAATCAATTGGTCTTTTGCAGGTTAAGATTCAAAAAGATAGTGAAGTGAGACTAAAGATAATTGGGACTCGAGTGGATGCTACTGAAATTGTATGCCCGTATATATTAATCTTTTACTTCCTTTTATGAATGCTGTTAAGCTCCAGCAGCTTTATGCTAAATTCTGCTTTGAGAAATTCAAATTAATAGGATATCAAAGCTTTTAATTGCAGATATAGTTTTTTTTCTCTGCAGATCTCTTTACTGTTACAAGTTCCTCAAAAGAGCCTTTATGCTAATTTTAATGTTTAACTCTTGCGAAAATCTCTGGCTTAGCAGTAATTATTTGTGCATATCATAAAAGTGGTGATAATTTTATATCTCTAAAATGCTAGTTTATGCTTCGTTTGCTGGCAATTTGCTACTGTCTGGATAACTCTGCTGTTATTATTTGAACTTAACCTATTTCAAAAGTTATCAACATGGAATGTGAAAGTTACTACCAAGCAAAGTAGTATTAAGCTACTAGCTACCATGAGGGAGCTGTAAAATTTACCGTACTTTAGTGGTATGCAGGAATTGTTAATTCCCCATGCTGCAGTTCTACTTTATTAGTAATGATGTAGAGCACACACTTGAACGTTGTGAGTAAATTATGATAAGAAATTCTCCAGCTACTGTATGGACTGAAAATGATTATATTTTGACCACCTTGTTAAGGTTACATGTTCTGACTATATTGTTCCTACCGTGATGATCTTGTATGCCATGTGTGAAGATGTCTTAAAGAACTCCCATTGGCCTTGTAACCTTGTGGCAGTTTTTGCAAGCATATGGTACTGGGTTTTATTCTATTCCTAATGATTTTTAATGCTCATGAACATGCTAAGCATATGTTTTCCCTACGCCTCACCTAGTCCTACATATGAACTCATTGATGCCACTCTTCAGTTTTTAAAATGAGCTGTACAGAGCCATTAAATTTTTTTTTGCCTTTGGATATGGAACATTTGTCTGCTTTTTGTTTCCAATGTTTTCAAGAAATTATTTATCTAATATCATGCATTACCCTTTTTCTTTTCTTTCTTTGCAGTTCTGCATAGGTACCATAAAAGATGATTTCTTGGGTGTAATCAACGACCCTGCAACAGCTTAAATGCACCTTTCTGTACCCTTCTGTCGTATATAGTTTGCACTTTGCATGGCCTGGATTGTTACGCCTGAATTCTTTCAGACATCATGTTGATGTAACTATTGCTGGAAGTACCGAGTCGGCAATGAGTTTACTTGGTTGCTGTATCAAATTCTCTTACTAATTCACTTATGTTTTTGTCTTCTGGATGTATATTAATTAAATAGTACTGGGCTCAGTGTTGCATCAGCCAACTTTGTATTGCACCCAAAATTAAGTCATAAAAATGAAGAGAACTAGAGGGAACAAAACAAGAAGATCGATTTTAAAAGGATTCGAGAAAGGTGTAGGTTGTTATTGCGTTTCTTTTCCATTCTCTTGGTATCATACAACCGTTTGCAACTGAGAAAATGAAATTTTACTACTGAGAGAAAATAGTTGGGCCAAAAAAAGATAGAAATTAAGAAAGTAGTTGATACAGTCATCGAAATGAGAATAGTAGAAGAAGATACTTTTCTTGCAACATGAGAAGTTTTTTTTCCATCATACTAACTTGAATCAATTTTCGTAAGGGTTATATAAGAATAATTTTGCAGAAAGAAAAAGACATTTTTTCGCAAACACAGTGAAACGTGGGATCTATTAGTTTTGTACTTCTCTCTTCTGATTTCACTCTTCATTACTGTATGTTCAGGAAAAAAAAAATTCCCCTAACATGAGGGATAAAGGAGTGTCTTTATAACTCTCCTATTGGATATAGAGTATGGAAACTACAATAAAGACCATTTCGAGCAACCTAAAAAATAAAAGCAATTGGATTCTATTTTAGACGGGAGTCATAGGTCACAATAGTAATATATATGGGAATGAATATTTAAAATTTCATGATTTAGTCATGAAATTTTTGTCTATTTTTTTTTTCATTAATGATAATTGGATTCTATTTATTTATTGTATGTAAAAAGAGAAAAACACAAATTTCACATGATAAAAATTTGACACGAGAGAATTCACTCCTTATATATATTGTCATGCATTGCATTCGTAGAATTTATTTATTTATTTTTTGGGAGAGGGGGGATGAGGTCTGGCATTGCACTCTTTAGCGTAAAAAACTGGTAACAAAAGTCATTAATTTGAAATCATTCATCATGAGAATACAATTATTGAAACCATACATTCACGTAAAGTGCTCATCAAGTTGAGAATCATCAAACTTGAAAGTAAAAATCCGCGAGATGCAGATCACGCTTCTGCAAAGTTTAAGGACTAGGCTAGTCTTCATCTTCTTCGAAGTCAGAAAATTCCGAAGCATTGCCATCAGACTGATTGTCACTCTCGGATTCACTCAGTATATATATTGCTTTCGTACGATTGGCCCTCTGAGGTCTAGCCCTTGCTGCTGCAGCTGGTGGTGCAGTATCAACCACCTCAGCGCTACCAGAGTTAGAAGCAGAACCCGACAAGTCTTCACTTGCAGATTCATCTTTAAAGTCAGTAACCCTGCCCAGCACAGAACCACTTTTCTTGTTAAATGGAGACTCCCTCATCTTCCTCACTTTCTTCTCTGGTGATATCCCTGTACCTTCAGCTACCTGCAACATATCAGTTATAAGCTTTTGACCCAATGTCTGAGATTGCTTGCTGCCTACATTTCTCTTTCTGGTGGCTGCAGGTTGCTTCTTTGCATTTTGAGCTGCGGGCTTTCTCCCTCCCTTCTTTTTCCCTGCTTCTGGGGCAGCCTCCTGCTGTAGTAGTTCGAAGTCATCGTCATCGTCATCGTCATCATTATCACTATCGGATACGTCAAACACTAGAGTACTTGACGACTTCTTCTTTGCACCACCCCTTCTGTTATTCTCCTTCTTCCCAGCAGGCACAGGGGGCTCTTCCATGGCTGTGGAAACAAATGTAACTTAAGTACTAGCATACGTATTATATATGGAATTGGAAGATTCAGAACCCATTTAACTAGTGTAGCCCAGAGACATTTACCTGCGGACTGATCACTAGATGCTCCGAAGTTATATGCAGCCAGGCGTTCTTGAAGAGAGAGAATTTCATCATCAGCAACCTGATAATAGGTATGTGACAGTGTAAGTGCCCCACAGTATTTGCAGAAAACATCTAATACAGGAAAATTGGGCAATTGGCATACCTCAGTTTTCTTAGAACTTGATCTGCCTTTCGGTTTAGTGACATCAGCAACTTTATCTGATCATGCAAGTAGAGAGAGTTCATACTCGTATCGATATTAAAAATCTAAAGATAACATATAATAGATACGAATCATGTCATAATAATCGTAACAATTCAGGCTTACCGATTTCCATTGAAGAATTATCATTATCCTGCTCAACGTTTTTGGCCTTCTTGGTATTCTTTCGTGGTTGTGGCGGCTTCTTGGTTGCTTTAGTATTGAATGACTTTTTGTTTGCTTGACATGATCTCTTTCGTTCTTCCTCTGCCTCCATGCTATCTAGTTCCTGAAATCCGCAATAAATAATAATTTATGAGATAAATAAATTCATCACTTCAATATAACTGAAAATTGAGATTAACTAATTGTCTCCTACATCAAGTTTCTTCTCAAGCTCATCTAGATCCTTCAACCACATGGACTTCGATGGTGTTTCCTTCAAAATCTCAAACTCCTTTGCCTTTTCATCCTTTTCAGCTAGCAGCTTCTGAACACTTTCGAGGGTCAATGTTCCAATAGGCAAGGATAACAGGTATTCATAGTCACCTCGTCTTGCCCCTTCAACATTGACAGGCTCAGAGCCAGTTTCCTGCTCTCTAGTATTGTCGTCTTCCTGCTCTTCATCAGTTGCCCCAGCAACTTGCGGTTCCACAGATTTACCTTTCCTTGGCATGGGAGTGAAACCTTTCTGCTGCAGCTCCGTCAACAAATCAGCTTTTCTACGGTTGCTGACGATAATTTCACCATTCACAACCCCCAATATAAACCTAACTTTGTTGTCCAACACCAACAAAAGTCGTTCAAGATTGTCCAGTAGATGTTTCTGAATGCATAACAAATTTGCGTTATAGTTCTTACAAATAGGTGCAGAATACAAGACCTATTACCCATTGACACAACAATAACTCACCTTTCTTCTCTCATAATAATCCAGCCGAAGTGGAAAGAACTCTTCGAGAACTGCATCAGAAGTGACATAAAACAGTGAGTGTAAAAAGTAACATGATATTATTCAAAACAACTCCACATGATGAAGGTTATACTTTGTTCAGGATTTTCATATTTCTTAATTTTCCCCTCTGCATCAAAAAGATGCATGTTGCTTGTGCTAATTGTGCTAGTCAATTTGAATTTCTTCAGCAGTCCCTCTTGTCTGACCATCGCTAATTTCTCCAGCTTCAACCTGACTTCTATGTCTACGGTTGCGTCATCTCCATTCTGCCTAAAATCCTGCATAAAGAAACGAATTCACATGAAAAAAATGGCACTAGTTAACTTATTGTGCATATATGGTGATGAAATATTTAAGTAAGCTTACCTCAATGAGAGGATCCTTGGCATTAGGTGTCCCATCGGTTAAAGATTCAAGGAACTGCTTATAATCTTGAGTCCACTTACGGATAGGCAACTCTGTGATTCTGAAAGTTTGCTCATCCATATCCACTATTGTACCATTGACTATATACCCACCTTCCTTGGCGCTTTTCTCAATGGTTCCTTTGTATCCTCTATACCATGGATCCATGGGCATCATTGTCTCATCATTCAACAAACGCCTAACATTGGCAATAATATCCCTTGGATTATAATTGGGAATGTAAGAACTCCATCCCGTACCAATTCCCTCACTACCATTAACAAGAACCAAAGGTATAACTGGTATGTACCTGTAGGGCCAGACAAAAGGGAATTTGAATATGTTCTACGTATTAGGAGTTCCTTAGCCCTTACTAATCATAAACTAAAGAGTCCTTTAAAAACAGAAGAAAACAAAATACCAGTTCGGTTCAATTGACTTCCCATCCTCATTCAAGTATTCAAGGAGTTTGTCATCATCATCATGGAAGAGGCAACGAGTAATAGTATTCAGTTCAGTGTAGATGTATCTAGCACTTGCATGATCTTTACCTCCCTGAAAGAGCAAATTCCATAGTAAATACAATATTTTAGGTAAAAGAAACATGGAGAATATTTTAACAAAGGTAAGATAACGAAGGACATAACAGCTTCATCTCACCAAGTTACGAGTACCAAATTGACCGTTTGGTTTGAGAAGATTGATGTTGTTGCTACCCACAAAATCCTGTGCCATTCCAATAATTGTGCTAGCTAAACTTTGCTCACCATGGTGGTAAGCGGAGTGCTCTGACACATAACCAATAAATTGTCCTACTTTAATTTCTTTGAACAACTTTTTCTTAAACGAGCAGAAAAGAATCTTCCTTTGACCAGGCTTGAGGCCATCAACCATTGAGGGAATAGACCTTTGAAGATCCGCCCTGGAGAACAATATAAGCTCTTTGTTAACAAAGTCCCTGTAGTTTATACGTTTGGCCATATGATCACGAAAAGTGCCGGGCTGCATTAACAGAGGTAGACTTTTATTAGCAAATCCTCCCTAGAATAAGGATCTATCAATAAAATGCACAATATTTTCTGATTGGTAACACTTCACACCTCAAAATTACGAATCCAGGTCTTCCTATCTTCAGCTTTTTTCTTACTGAATGCCATTTCAATTGCATTTCCATCCTGGTCATCTTCCCAAACGAAGTCTTTCTGGTGTTTGTCAAGATCTCCAAAGTACTCTCTCCCTTCCTGAGGGGTACTTGTACCCAATCCCTAGAAAGGCCAGAAACAAAATAAGAAAATACAAAAGCAAAAAACTGAAAGCAAAGGATGGATTATAAACCTACTATGGAGATTATCCATGCTTACGACAACAAACCTTATAATACTTTATCTTCCAACCATTTGCATTATTCCCCAAGCTTTCTCTCCATGATAGATACTCGGGCATGGAATAAAATGATAATTTTGTCCCGTTTGAATGAAAAGCCTGCAAAGACAGAAACAAATGTATGACATCAGAGAAGGAAGTTCGATAAAATAGTATGTACTGCTCAATGTTATTTTTATCATTAACAACATTAACCATACTTACCCTAATTATGGGAGTGGTAAATTCAACCATGAAAGATGGAACTTGTAGCAGTGATGGCCAGAACGAGTGAATGAAGTTTATCAGTAACCCTTTGATGTGGGACCCATCATAATCCTAAACCAGACATAAAATTAAGCCATTATAATATCAGTGG